CGTCAGGCAAATAAAACTCTTGTTCCAGTGATCGCATCTTCGTCTTCTGAGTTTTATTTGCCTGACGTTTTGGATTCCGTCGGGAATCCTTAACCATAGGTGATGGCAACACAGTCATCATCTGCGCATGACTATGACTGTGTTACCATTACCTATTATTTGCGCGCGATAATTAAAATTACCCGATTGTACCCAACTGGACACAACCTTTGACTCTATATCAACTCGATCTAAACAAACAGGCGATCACTTATCGACATGACGCAGTTAGCTGAAAAAAGGAAGGATTTTTGGGCTGCAGAGTTACCCAAATTCCCGAAGTTTGCATTTTTTGGCAAATCGGAGGAAATGGCAATCGAAAGGTCTTTTTTTACTTCGCACGTCAGCAAGATCACTCTTTCCCAAACAGATTTAGATTTGCAGATGCTACACGCAGAAGTATTGAAATTGAGCAAAATGTATAAGTAATATTTAAATAAAGCGTCCTTCCTTCCGAATTCAATGTCTTCAAAGGTCAATTTCGATGAAATCGATACATCATATCAAGATAGGTGGGCTTATGTAATACGGAATATTGTGAAATGCAGCCATTGTCCACAGAAAGCAGCCGAGGAGGGTGGCGGGGGCTGGGGCTGGGTCTAAAATAGGGGATGTCAGGATAAAATGTGCGTAATATCATTGTGCATGGTAGCTGAACATCTGAAGAGGATTATCAGAACCGTTGACGGATGCTGTTAGGAGCGTCTTCCAGAGAGACAGAGAGAGAGCGAAGGCGAACAGAAGACGCCGGTATGGTACAAAAGTTCACAACTGACATTTGAAATGGCCTTTGGATTAGATGATTTCACATCACTGGCAGGCGAAAACTCGTCCGTAGATTACTTCTGCGTTTATGAGCAGGTCTACGCTCTGTTCATCAATGAAGAATGCCGAGACGCAACCGATGAAGTTATTGCTGTACTTTCCGGGTAGGCCTGGAACAGGAGCATTGATACCACCTAGAGAAGGCAAGTAAAAAGAAACAAAATTAATCCTTGTGGACGGCTGTCGGGGCGTATTCTCTTAAGAGGTTCTTTCAGAGCATCTAAACTGCTTACACCAGGAGAGGAAGATGCAAGGAACTAGAACAGGAAGTTCCTTGATCTGACGTTGTGGGTTCCCCTTCAAAATCATCATCAGAGACAGTCGCACAAAAGGGAAAGAGAGGAACAAGGAGAGCAGTATTTCTAGGACGCAGTGGCCAGGACACTAGATGCTGACAATAGTTAGCGTCACTGGCGTTTATCGCAGGGGGTTCGTATTTGATGTGATGATTTGCCAGTTCGCATCCCAGTCGTTACTTGATATGATTCAGTCAGTTGTTGACTTTTGGCGTGACGATTGTTCAGCCATTTGGCTCACCGTCATCAAATCCGTTAATCGACTGTATATTCTTAGGAAGGAACAGATACGATCCCTGGGATAAGAACTTTATTCGTCTGACGTTTTGGATTCGTCTAGACTGCAATTATCCGATACAGCAGCAGAAAGGGATACTTCGTACAAAAGGAATTGCAGTATCTATACAGTACGCGGCAGAATTCGTGCAACATGCCGACATATGCGAAAGATTGATACTCTTTC